GTAGCTCTCCTTTGCGGATTTCTCTGTCCTCAAGGCCCCAGACTTTACTGTACAAATCTCTCATTTGGAAAAAGCATCCTGCACCCCTACTGCCTTCTCTTCTGCAGGATGGTTTGTTTTGTGTTTTGCAGTCCCGAGGATGGAATCCAGGGCCTCCTGCACACTAGACAAGTGCTCTACCACTGGGCTGCACCCCCAGCCCCTACTGTTTTAAGATTCAGTTCCTCATGCAATTTTTGGCTCAGTCTCCAATCAGTGGCAAATCACATTTTGCATCATTTTCTGCCTCACTTTGTCTTGGTGTGGATGTGAACTTGCAGACCCGGGGCCCCGGCAGCCAACCCTGGGAAGCCCCCAGTGACCGTGCTGGTGGCTGGTTTCGTAGATGCCGGTTTGGGCTGGATCTGTGCTCTGAGCATCCTGCTGGGCTTGGAGCAACAAGGGGGTCACTTTGGTGCTTTCTTCAGTTTCACAGCCCCTCTCCCTCCGGGTTGCACATGGTTGTCTAGGATCACTTACTCCTGATGCCTGGAAAGTATTAGGAAGTGGGCCTGGCTTGCTGGCCATCATGGGGCTTATTCATGAAATTTTACAATATGAGAAAAATCAAAACAGCCAATTAATATCAATTAACTTCATTTTAGGCAATGAGGCAACTTTCAGGAAATACCAAAGCCACTGATAGATTGCATTCTGTTGGTGAAATGCAATGAAATAAGAAAGTCACTAACAAAAAGATGGCAAATAAAAGCTTCTGTTTACACCAGGGATTTCAAAACATTGAGCAATTAAGGTCAAAGGAAAAACTATAATGGAAATTATAAAATATTTACAGGGCTGGGGATTTAGCTCAGTGTTTCCACCTTGCTTTGCAAGCACAAGGACCCGAGTTTGATCCCCGGTACCAAAAAAAAAAAAAAATTTACAAATGAATAACTATGAAAACACCACATTTCAAAACTTATGTGATGCAACTCAGTCATTAAAGGAAACTGGCGGGCCAGGGATTTGGCTCAGTGGTTTTGCTGCCTGCTGCACAAGCACAAGGACCCTAGTTCGATCCCTGGTACCAAAAAACCCCCCCCAAAAACCAAAAAACCCCGACTTGTTCTTAAAGGAAACTGGCTTTAAATGTATTTACTAGGAAAGCAGAAATTTTGAAAAACAAAAAGTCAGAAGTTCAACTTAAGAAGTTAGTGAGAGAATAGAAGATACTCAATGAAGCAGAAAAATATTGACAGATCAAAATGAATGGAATAGCTAGGAGTTATGGCACATGCCTAGACCAGCATTCTGGAAGGCTGAGGCAGGAGAATCTGCAAGTCTGAGCTCAGCCTGGGCAATTGAGCAAAACCCTGCCTCAAAATTTAAAAAGGGCTGGTGCTAGCTTAGTGCAAAGGGATTGTGCTCAACCTCAATCCCCAGTACTGCAAAAGAAAAGCAGTAATATTAAAGAGACTCCTTTGGTGGGGGTGGATAGATAAGCTCTGGTAAAAACAGAAGGACCGGGGGCCGGGGATTCAGCTCAGTGGTTCCAGTGCCTGCCTTGCAAGCACAAAGTCCCGAGTTCAATCCCTGGTACCCCCCCCCCGCAAAAAAACAAACAAAACCCCCAAAACCCCAGAAGGACCAGGGCGCAGTTGGCACCTTCCGCGCCCTTTGTCCTCTAAGACCCTAACGCCTGGTGGGCAGAGCGCCCCATGCCGTGGCCAGCATGCCCAACAGGAGGCCCTGTTCTCCTCGACACCCCCCCCCCCCGCAGATGAAGTTGAGTCTTTCGTTTGGAGGGTGGGGATGTCCCGAAGCGCCTAGCCTGGCCTCAGGAACTACTGAGGTGGGACAGAGCCTCTTTTCGGCTGTTGCAGCTGAGAGCTGCCACTGCTGAGACCCACAAGGCCCTGTTCAAGGGGAGCTGAGACCTCCTCCCGTCAGGGATGGTGACGAGGGGTCTTTGAGGACAGCACAGGGCAGGGAACTTTGGGCCCCTGGGGACCGGGCCAGGTATCTCCTTGTTCAGCTCTCATTCATGGAATTGAGCCCGCGTGGTTGTGCCCATCTGCAGTCCCAGCAGTTGGGAGGCTGAGGCAGGAGGACTGCTGTGAGTTCAAGGCCAGCCCGAACTACATAGCCAGACCGTGTCTCAACAAACAAACAAACAAACATCGCAGTCATGGAATACTCAAGAAATAAAAGGAAGCCAAAGAGTATACATTTAACTTCTTCTTCTTTTTTTTTTTTTTTGGTACCGGGTTTGAACTCGGGACCTTGCGCTTGCAAGGCAGGCTCCAGAACCACTGAGCTAAATCCCCGGCCCAAGAGTATACATTTAAAAAAAATAATTTAAGAAGGACAGAAGAGAGACACTCAGAGAAGAAAGGGGCAGAGAGATCATATAAAGATATTAGTGAAAAGATGATTATAACTATAAATATAATAAAGATTTTGAAAAAGTAACAACACTATGGATGATTCATAACAATTTCACGTTTACATGAAATGGACAATTTTCTACAAAAATACAAATTACTGCAACATACTGAAGATAATCTGAATATACCTATAATCATCAGAGAACTTGAATTAGTAGTAAAAAATACAACCCTTATCCTCACAATTTCACTAAGATAGGAGGCCCAGATGGTTTTATTGGGGCGGTGTGTCAACATTTGAAAACTGAGCCTTCATACACAGAGTCCTAGAGAACAGGTGTGTGTGTGTGTGTGTGTGTGTCAAACTCATCTAATGCAACTATTAAAAGAGTGAAAACTAATTAGAGAAGAAGAGCACCAGTGAGGAAAGCATTAGAGCACTCTCACTTAGGACAGTAATTACAAAAATCCAAAGTAAAAGAACACGTTAAAACTAGAAATATATTTAAAAATATATCCTACCTGGCATGGTGGTCCACACCTGTGATCCCAGCACTTGGGAGGCTGAGGCAGAAGGATGGCTGTGAGTTCAAGGCCAGCCTGTTAAAAAACAAAAAACAGAACAAAACAAAGCAAAAAAAATCCCAAAAAACAAAAAAGCAAAATATATATATCCTGACCAAGAACGTTTTATCCTACAAATATTAAGGCAGTTCATTATCAGAAAATTGGTTAAAGAAACATACTACTTCCACAGATTAAAGGAGAAAAAAGAGCTCCTGTTGATATAGGGCAGGAAGTAATTAAAAAATGATATAGGGAACCAAGTAATCCAAATAAGCAAAAATAATCCAAACAAGGGAAATATAGCTTCCAACCTGCTAGATATCCAAATGTAAGTTCGTGTTCTCTAAAATCAAAGAATGAATTCTAGGAACAATGGAGGTTAAGAGTAGGAAAAATTTATTGAGAAAGATTGCTTCCAAGAGAGCTAGAAGGGGAACTGGAAAGTGGGTTGCCCGCCCACTCCACTTTCCAAAGGTGTTTTATGAGCCAGGTGTGGTGGCTTATGCCTGTACTCCAGCGCTCCCGAGGCTGAGGCAGGAGAATTGCAGAGAGTTCGAGGCCAGCCAGGGCTACATAGTAAATTCAGGGGCAGCCTGAACTACAAAGGGAGAGCCTGCCTCAAAAAACAAAAACAAACAAACAAAAAAATATTTTATGGGGCCAAGCCAGGAGGTGAGGTGGGTGAAAGGTGGGACAAAACTGTAAGACCAAATCAATGGAAAATCACAAGGCGGAGATAAGGTGGGACAAAACCATGATCAACCAATAAGATTACAAGTGCACTCACCCAGGTAATATCGATTAGATGGGGGTCAAATGGGAAAACAAGTCTTGTAGTAGGAATTTTGGGAAAGGAAATGGGCTTGGGAGACTGATACCTATTTAGAATATCAATCACTGCTATTCATCCCCAGGGGAAGTATGTGGGTACAAATACCTTTTCCCTTTTTATAATGTTAACTGGTGAATGTGCCACAATTGTTTTCTATGCTGAGGGCCCAGCTTTGCCTAACTGCCTTATAATAATTTCTAACTAACTAGCTATCTGCAATACTATGATTATCTCAAAGGATGCAGACAAAGCATTTGCTAAAATTCAAGAGCACACCTCCCACTAGGCCTTCCTCCCCCGACCAGTGCCAGGTGCTGAGGATCGTGGGTCTTTGGAGGACAACACTGTGTTGTCTTGCTTATTTATTTGGTTGCTTACTGTCTCCTCCCTCAAGCAGGAGCTCCAGGAGGCCTGGGTCGAGGAGGAATCTTTCAGCTTTCATAATTTTACGAAACCCATAAAGCCATAGGTTCTGCTTATAGCATCTACAGGAAAATAGAACTGCTTGAGGGCAAGGATGCTGTTTCTGTCTGCCTCTCTTTGTCTACGCATTTCAAGAAATGGAATTTGTTTTCGTTTTAAAGTGCAAGTTTCGAGGGACTCATTTGGTTGATTGTGTGTGGTTTAGGGCGTAGAGGCCCTAAACCGGCTCACTCCGGTAGGAGCATGGCGTCCTCTAGCGCACATTATGGGAACTGCCTTTGGGCGGGTTGAACCTTGCGGAGAAGGTCTTACCCGAGGGACCAAGTTTACATTGGAAAGTCAAGGTCCCCAAGTCAGGGGCCACGTCACCAAGTCAGGGGCCACATAAACCTCAGCAAATATTTGTTAAATGAATGAATGTAGAGAACAATGATCCTTTCAGAGTGCCCTAAAGGAGGGAGTCATAAAAATAAATTGTCCCGGGCCGGGGATTTAGCTCAGTGGTTTCGCCGCCTGCTGCGCAAGCTCAAGGACCCGAGTTCGAGCCCTGGTACCAAAACAAACAAACAAATAAATAAATAAATTGTCCCTTTACAGCTGAAATGAAGGTTAATTGCTAACCCAGAAGATGCCAGATTAGCCTTGCTAAGTTGCTAAGTAGCTCAGGGTGGCCTCAAACTTGTGATTCTCCCCCCTCAGCCTCCCAAAGTGGTGGAATTACAAATACAGGTCACCAAGCCTAGCTAAAATTTTTTTCTTTTCTGGTTTAAGAGGAAATAAGAAGGAAACCATTTTCCAGCGAGGACTAGACAGCCATGACTGGAGCACACCCTTAGCTGGCTGTCGCTGCTGTGCACAGGAGGGGAGAGAAGAAAGCGGGAAATAAGAGTAGACAAACCCCAGGAACAATCAGCCGAGAAGTGGTGAGCTGGTTTCCTCTGTGAGTCAGTGTTGAAAATGCAGGTATTACCAGGGAGGGGGGCTGGGGTACTAGCTGGATACTTGATATTACAGGATTATTAATGTTTCCTGGTTACAGTGGCTGTGCTGACGTTAACCAAGGCTCCTTATCACTCGGTGGGCAGCGAATGGGCAGATGTGATTCAAAATAACCTGGGTTGCCGGTGAGGGGGTGCAGAGGTGAGACAACGTGGATGACATGTGACCATTTCGGAGGTGGGTGGCAGACAATTGGGGGTTCATTTCACTATTCTCTCTGCTAAGGTCACACGTCAGAAATTTTCCATGACAAGTTAACATACGTTTGTGTCTCAGCCACTTTTCATCACTGGGACAAAACACCCAACATTTAAACCTGCTTCTCTAGTGAGCACTGATACGAGCGTCACACAGAATAGTTTCTCTGGTCTAAAATCCTCTGGGCTCCACCCATTCCTTCCCCCTTCCTCCCTAACCACTGATCTTTCTACCGTTTCCAAGGTTTTGCCTTCTCTGGAATGTCTGTGAGGTGCAGCCTTTCAGACTGGCTTCTTTCACTTAGTGGCAACCATTTAAGGTTCCTCTGTCTTTTCATGGTTTGACATAAAGCAACGTTTGATTCTCTAGAACGATAATTCTAACTGGGAATGTTTTGAGGACCTTTTGTTGCTGTTATTGTTTCTGCACTAAATGTTTTTAAAAGGAAGATGATACAAATAACGTTAGAGAATTCCAGTTCTTTCACGATATGATCCTTACCGGTTCCCTGCATGGAATGGTGTAGCTGTCTGGAATACTGAGTGGGGGTGCAGGTGGGGAATGCCTAGCCCGTGCCAGGATTCCGGATGTCGATGCCCGGCTGTAACAGAATTCTCTGAGTGAAGGCCGTAGTGTGCTCTTTTGAACTTTGGATGTTCCTGAGGAACTGGTAGTGCTATGAGGCAAACATGTGGTGTCAGTATACCCCATTATACCTAAAATTAGCGGATGTTGTTGTATGGCAGAAAGCAGACAAGCAGAAAGGTCAGAATGGATGGTTAAATTCCTGTTCTGCCCAAGATGAGACAGGGTTCCCTGGTCTTCCCCTCCTGCTGCGGTGTCCTGACCGTAGGGCTGTGCTTGCGCCCTCTGCTGGGGGAACAGACCTGGCCGAGATGGGCGAGAAAAGCAAGCGGAGGTCGGCATCCCCTTCCCACTGTATTTGGGATGGAGTTCAAAGAAGCAAAGAGCGCAGCCTGAAAGGGCTGCCTTCACTGTTGTAGTGGCAAAGGACCAACCGGAACATACAGACAGGTCGCCCAGGAGAATGGAAGACGGACCGAGAAGTTATGGAGGCAGAGTGTACAGTTTTATTTTTAAGGCCAGCGGGTCAGGCTGGGACTTCTCCACAGAGAGACCGACCCCTCTTTGGGGTGGAGCAGGGCGGGTTATCCTCTCGGGAGGGGCGGGCTTGCAGGAGTTAAACACTTTGCATTGGTTACACAGAGCACAAGTCATCTGGGCCCAGCAAATTCACCGGCTATCAGATATTACAGACAGCAAGCTGGGCGCACAGAGCCACACGTCATTTACATTTGGCGGGGAGAGAGAAGTAATAAAACCGAGAACAAAGAAAATTCCTGAAGTGCTTGAGAGGAAATGTCCAGAAGCCCGGACACACTGAGGGAATGGGGGAAAACTTTTCCATCAGTAAGTTTGGCTTTACCTGCAGAGAAACACTTTCTCCGTTCACTGTGAGTGGTTAGATGGGGTGAAGTCGAGCCACAGAAAGGCCCAGTGGTCTGAAAGCCTCGGTGGGAAACAAACCCTATCTCTGTACCTGGGTTGCACAGGGAGGCAGGTGATAAACAGTCACTTAGCAGAGAGGTTATTTGGTCTTCACTGTTGTGGAATAAGACTGCCTACCTTGGTTTTACAGATCAGCAAACAAGCTGGAGGGCATTCGCTAACCTTTCAAATTCAAGTCCTTAGGAAGCACCACAGCTGGGTCTGGAAGATGCTATACGAGTCCCCAGGAGAAAACCCGGAAGTGGGTCCACGTGCTTGTAGGGACACCCTGCCACCAGGAGGGGGCGCCAGACTCCTGAAGAGCTGTGACTTGGTCTTCCACAGGAGCCAGTGGTTGTCCTTGACCCCACTGCTCTGACGTCAGATATCTGTCTTCTTGGGGTTCTGTTCTGTGCAGGGGCTCAGTAGCTCAGAAGGTCAGGCTCCTTTGTTGATATCTGAATTACTTTGGTGAAACCCAGAACCGAAGTGTAAGTTTCAAATGAATAAACGCACCATGGCTTCCTTCCATCCAAACATTTCCCTTTAAATACACACTGAGAGGTATGAGGAGAGAAAGCAAGGTGATCCACTGGGGAGTGGTGAGTTTCTCTCTGCCCCTGTGCTGGTCTGAATATTCTTCTTGGACTGACCATTTGGGGGCCCCCCACACCCCTGGCAGTGCCCCGGCTCTCCCAGTGGGGGTGGTGTTCTGTTTAGATGAGAAAGGTGTAAGTGGAAAAGCCAAGAGGAGACCATGACTCTTCTTCCATTGTTCTTTGGATTCCACTTTTCTTGGGGACTTGGGCTGCCTTACATATTTTTTGAAGTGAAAAAGTCTTAAGATAGGAATATTTTTAAATTACGTGCATTCTAAAACAGATTCACAGAAATATAGAGAAAGAAGAAAATTATGCAATTATTTCACATACAGTTTATGAAAATACTGTTATTTCTTTCTTAGGTGTAACTAGTTTTTGAGTGGGAGCTTTTCTATTCTCACTTTGATAGCATCTTGTTCTTATTTTTGTTCCTGTTCTTGTTCTTATTCCTGTTCCTGTTCCTCCTCTTCCTCTTCCTCCTCGTCTCTTTGGTGGTGCTGGGGATCTACCACTTTGACTTCTATTCAAAGCAGAAAACAGTCAAGTGCCTCACATTCTGGAGAGACCATCAACATCCCTTTGGAACTTACTGATAAGATGAACAGTACGACTCTGTGACTCCCATGCCACAGAGTCAGACTCCATACACTGAAGACGTAGGGGAGAGAAGTAGGGAGAGGGAGGGAGGGGTGTTGGGATCTTGAGTTGTGGTGAGGAGGGTTTCCTCAGGTGCTCAGTGAGCCTGGGCATGCTCAGACACTGGTGAGGCCCTCCAGTTTATGCAAAGCTGGAGTGTAGTCAGCTTTCTGTCACTGAGACACAGAGCTTGAGGGAGGGAAGATTTATTCTGGCTCACAGTTTTAGAGGTTTCAGTCAATGGTTGATTGGAGCCATTGTTTCCAGGCCCAAGTGAGGTGGAGCATCATGGCAGAGAGTGTGTGTAGGAGTAAAGCTGTCACCACAGTGCAGCCAGAAAGGGTGTCAGGGAGAGGGAGAGACAGCAGGTCTCACCCTTCATATCACATATCAATCTGTCTGGAAACTTCTCACAGACACACTAAGAAATGTGCTTCACTAATTTCTTAGGCATTTCTCAATCCCATCAAGTTGACATCCAAGAGCAACCATCACAGCTGGATTATGAGAGCCACAGGTCTTTCTTGGGACTCCTTTTTCCAAAGATCTAGGAATTCAACAGGACAACCTATGTCATTTAGAGACCATAAGTCATTCCCATCCCCTCCCCAAAAGAAAACTGTGGATCTCAGTGACAACTTCTCAGTCAGAGGCTGTGGTCTCAGATCCATATCCTCCCTCTAGGAACTTGAACTCTCTGGGAGAAATCACCCCATAAGAGGTTAGGAGGGTGGTGGTGGGGTAGGGCTGGCTCAACTGCTGTGAACTATCTGAGATATTCCTGTTTTATTATTGAAGAAATGGAGGCTGGAGGAGGTGAAGGCCATGGTGACATAGCTGGTAGTGGGGAATCGAAGGTTGAACTTAGACATTGTAATTTTTGAATCCAGGAGCCCATAGAGCAGAAGAAAGGGTGCTGGGCAAGGCAGTCAGTTACTCAGCTAAGAACAGACAGAGAGGACTGAAAATGTTTCTGTCCTCCGAGTTGATTCCAGTTTGATCTGAGTGATAGACATCTTTATGGTTAACATTCAGCTCTGATTGGTTGTCTATCTTTTGATCCCTCCAAATGAGGAATTTAAGGGCATGCAGTTTATTTAGGGGATGACCCTGGGAAACATCACTAGGAGAGTGGGAAGGTGGGAAAGAGGGGAATCAGAGGAGGAAATAGAAAGCTAGTTTCCACTCTGGGCAACTGGAGCCGAGTCCCACTGGGAGCTCTGGTGGACATGTCTTAGCATCATCCTCATCACGTTTTTCAAAGAATTCACGAAGGAGCAACCCAGTATGGCTTCAGACTACTGTTCACCCTTCCCATGTTCTCTCAGCTGACCCTGGGACCCGGGGCTGCTGTGCTAGAACCTGTGACAAGTTAAAAAATTCCCTGGACTGCTGTGAGAAGAGAGTGCCGTGGAGCCTAGAAGTGAGGACCACTCCCTGCGGAAATCACTGAGATTAAGGAAAAGGGTGAGAGAGCAGTCTCATTTGTCTTATAACAGTGTGGAGCTATAATTCACATCCCATACAACTCCCCTGTGTAAAGTGTGCAGGTCCATTGTTTTTAGTATATTCATAGACACATGCAATCAGCACCAAGGTCTACTTTGTCACTTCTGGACCCTGCACCTTAGGGTCACTCCCATCCTGCTATCTCCTCCCAGCACTAAGTGACCATGGATCCACTTTCATCTCTAGAGATTTCCCTGGTCTGAATATTTCACATAAATGAAATCATATAACAGGTGCTCTTTTGGTACTGGCTATTTTTCTTCTCACAAAATGCTCCCCAGATATATGTATGTTGTACTACATATCAGTACTCCTTTTTTTTGTTTGGTTTTTGGTGGTATTGGAGATAGAATACAGGGCCTTTGAATGGAGATGTATCCCCCAGGCTTTTTATTTTTCTCACTAAGTCCCTAAATTGCCCAGGCTGGGCTTGAACTTGTGATCCTCCTGCTTTTGCCTCCCAGAGTACTGGGATTATAGGCCTGTGCCACCCTGCCCAGCTACTTCATTCCTTTTTATAGCTAAATCATATTCCATTGTTTAGACATATCATATTTTGTTATCCATCTATCAGTTGATGGACACTTGGATTGTTTCTGGGTTTTGTCTATTATGAATAACTCTGCTACATATATGCCTGTACTATTTTTTGAGTAGATATGTTTTTCTTCCTTTTGGGAATTTACAGAAGAGTATAATTGGTGGGTCATAAGATAATTCTATGTTTAACCATTTGAGGAGCTGCCAGACACAATAGCACATTCCCACCAGCAACTGAAGGTTCTAGTGTTCTAGTTTCTTCACATCCTCATCAATACAAGAGGTAATTGACAAATACAGCCAATCTGTTTTTTTTTTTTTTTTTTTAGTACCGGGGATCAAACTCAGGACCTTATGTGTGGTGCAGCTGATCTACATCCCCAGTCCAAATACAGGTAATCTTTAAAAGACACATTGTCATGAATTTCCTACAAAATACTCTCCCTCATTTCAAAGACATGACCATGTTCTTGTCACTTTCTAAAGCAGCTCTGGAAGTCCTCTTTACTGAGCGTCTTTATAAGGTGTGGTCAGCTATGCCTTCAGAGCTGCTGCCAGGCTCATAAAAATAAGGCTCATTCACCTTATTCACTGGAGCCAGCACTGTGCGACTTCTGGCTTTTCCCAAAGTCAGGGTGACCATGAAAAGTAAGCATTTTGAATTGATTCAGGACATCGAGGTAGCCATGACAGTGCAGTAAAGACACTCATGCTTCTTGTTATCATTCACTTGTACTTCCTTTCTGGCTTTTTGGATTACAGAGCCATTCTTGTAGATGTGAAGTGGTATTTTTTTTTGGTTTTGGTTCGCTTTTCCCTGGTGACTAATGATGTTAAGTATTTATGAGATTACTGCCTGTTTGTATATGTTCTCTGCAGGAATATCTAACCATATCATTTGCCCACTTAGAAGACTGGTTAGTTATCTTTTTATTACTGAGTTGTAAGAATTCTTTTTTTTTTTTTGGTACCAGGGATTGAACTCGGGACATTGCACTTGCAAGGCAGGCGCAGTGCCACTGAGCTACATCCCCAGCATGAATTCTTTATATATAGTCTAGATGAGTGATGTTGAACCTATGGCATTCATGTTGTTTGTTTTTCTTTTAAGACAAAAGATGTTAATGTATAAGTTGTTTTTTCTAAACAAAAACTCAGTATTCAGGTTTAATTGCGGTGAGTTTTGCGTTGGAGTTTGGACACTTGTCTCTGAAAAGTTTGCCATCACTGGTTTAGATAAAGACCTTTATTAGATATGTGATTTTCAAGTATTTCTCTCATTAAGTGGCTTGTATTTTCACTTATTGTTTTTGTTTTTGTTTTTGTTTTTTTGGTACCGGGGATCAAACTCGGGTCCTTGCACTTGCGTAGCAGGCGTTGAAACCACTGAGCTAAATACCCAGCCCTTCACTTATTCTTTTTGTGGTACTGGAGATTGAACCCAGGGGTTCATACATGCTAAGCAAGTGCTCTATTGCTGAGCTATACCCCATCCCCTTTTTCTGACAGTTTTTGCTAAGTTGCATAGGCTGGCCTTTAATTTGTAAACCTCCTGCCTGGGCCTCCTAATTAGCTGGGATTATAGGCAAGTGCCATCAACACCTAGCTTGACTAAATATCTTTTTTTTTTCAGTACTAGGGATTGAAACCAGTCTTGTCACTGAGCTACATCCCCAGCACCTTTTTACTGTTTATTTTGAGACAGTTCAGTCTTACCAAGTTGCTAAACTGTCCAGTCTGGACTTAATCTTGTGGTCTTCCTGCTTCAGCCGCACAGACTGCTGAGATAAAAAGGTGCACCACTGTTCTCTGGGAAATATCTTTTAAATGCAAGGATCAAAGGTTGCTGCTCAGATGTGCTGAAGGCATAGCTGATGAGAGCCAGAAGGTGGCAGCAGAGAGCCCTGCACCATGGCCAGGGAGCCAGGGTAGAAAACCAAGATGGAGCCAGGCTGAGACAGAGCCAGGGCCAGAGGTGCTGACAGACTGGTGGCCGGAGGAGGGGAAGGGCCAGGATTCTGGAGTCAGGAGGTGGAAGTCTTTGATTGCCTCTGGGTACCCTGAGGCCAGTTTTTTCCTGAAGTCTTTGCTTTCCCCTAGTAGTGTTGCCTCCTCTTAGGCACTGGCCCTTGGGACCTTGACTACTGTTTTTGGTACTGGGGATCAAACTTGGGGCCTTGCGCTTGTGAGGCAGGCCGCGGAACCACTGACCACTGAGCTAAATCCCTGGCTCTGGGGCCTTGATTCTTGTGATTCTCTATTCCTGTAACCAAGAGCTGTGGGGTAGAGGAGTTGTAGGCCAGGTTCAGGGACCTGGTGTCGCACCTTGGGGTTGCCTTACCCTCTACTTCTCAGAAGGGGTCAAAGGAGCCCCAGGCCTTGGTGCAGAAGACAGAGCCCTGAGCAGCTCACTGAGTTGCTAAGTTGCCCAGGCTGGGCTTGGACTTGCAATCCTCCTGCCTCAGCCTCCCAGAATACACATATTCCAGGTATGTGCCAGAATGTCTAGTTCCAAATTTTTACATTCATATTCCTTGTGGTTAATAACCCAGTCTTTAATTTCTCTCTTCTCATATTTTACTATAGGCACTTCTAGAGAAGCCACACTTCATTTTCAACACTTTGCTTAGACATTTCCTCAGCTAGGATTCCAGGTGTGAGTCACCACATCTGGCTTAACGGCCCCTTCCTCAGAGCAAGAGCATCCTGTGATTGGCACAGCCCAGGCACCAAGTCAGTAGAATTTCAGGCTCACCAGTGAGCTTGGTCGACAGCCTCTGTGCAATGGGTCATCCGCAGGACCTTGGCACAGGGTCATGATCTCAGGTCGCAATTTACATGAACCCAGTGGTTTGCTGCTGCTGCCCAGCTGCAGGTGGGTGTCTGAGGCCACTAACAGCAGTGTCAAAGGTCTTGGACACTTTGTGATGTGTGTCTGACTTGGGGCCAGTCTGTCCAGCACTGAGTATCCCTGGGAAAGAGAAAGATGTAGTTTTCCCTCGTGTGGTGCTTAGTCAGGGTTTCCAGAGTGAAACGGGTGTGGCCGTGCAGTGGGCCAGATGCAGGGTCTTTTAAGTGTCCACAGGTACCTCCTTTGTCTCCCAGCCAAGTTTAGTGCCAGTGTGACTGCCCCGAGCTGGGCTCCACTGTTGGTTTTTGTGGCTTCTGGGGCAGGTCTCCTTGGTCTCCTCTTCTCCCTTCTGATTGGCTTTCCTTCTTTCCACTGTGGTCCAGCTGTGCTCAGGACACACTGTCCTTCTTGCGAAGTGGCTGTAGCCTAGGCCACTTGAGATAGTTAGAGACCACCACAGTAGGACAGCAGAATAGACACCTGAGTGTCACGAAACATTATCCTTTGTAGCACAGCACGTTGCCACTTGCGGTGATTCATCTTGATTGTCAACCTCATTGGCCTGAGAGATGCTTAGGAAATTGGCAAAGCACCCTGTTGGATGTGTCAGTAGGTTTGTAGGAGTGTGATCTCGGGGACAATACCTGGTTCCTGGCCCCTTGCCTCTGCCTCTTACCCTGCTCTCTGCTCCCCAGATGCCAAGAATTGAGCAGTACTTCTCTGCCACATTCTTCACTATGATGCTTCTGCCTTGCAGTGTGCTGACCATGGACTGAAACACCTGAAACTGTGAGCCAAGATAAACCTCTCCTCTTCTTTTTAAATTTTTTTTTATTTTTATTTTTTTTACCTCTCCTCTTCTAACCTGACTTTCTCAGATGTTTGGTCATAGTGATGAAAACCTAACTAATACATCCCTGTGCTTTTTTTTCAACAGTCCTGCTATGAGACTGATAAAATCACAGAAATAGAAAGCTTGTATAAAACAAAGGAATTGTTACTAAGGAAAATATCTTGACAAACTTTCTATCTTTACTTGCTCTGGTAGACTTAATAGTCATTAATTCTAGAGGCCACACAGCTAGGCAGTATATTATTAGTTTCCGCTTAACTTCACTGTAAATAACACCTCTGATGTGCTGGTTATGATATCAGTTGCCTGGGTTACTTTGCAGCAACTTGAAACAACCTTTGTTGAAAACACCAACCCTTCCCTCAAGCCTACAATATCTGATAGGTGACTAAAATGGGATAGAAGAGTGGCAAATCTATCATCATATTGTGTCTGTTTCCTTTACTGTCCTAACCCTTGGGTAATAGATTCTGCTCAGGTCTGCACATAGACACATTGATCATTTAAAAGTGTTCAGCCCAAGAGTGTAATACAAGGTTCATTTGGCCTGTTGCCCATGAGTGCTATAGGTTGCTTTTCCTTTCTTTCTTCCCTCTTTTTTGCCCATATTCTTTTGTTTCTTTAGCAGTGGCAACAGCCCAAGGCCCTTCATAAGGCCTGGAGAAGACCACAAGAAGAACCCAGCAATTCCTAGGACAAGTTCACTGTGACCACCTGGTGGTCCAAGCCTTGCAAGAAGACGTCTTTTGGAGCCATAGCCCTGGCTGGTGGAAACTTACTGGCTTTTTAGTTCACCTCAGCAAATCCATAAAAGCTCATTGCTTTCTTTGTCCTGGGAACAGCGTGTTCCCCCTTTTTTGGGTCAGTGCTGGTTCCCTTCAGCTGAACCCTGTTTTCCCCTCCCACTAGAGTCTTGCCGGACTTGTGCTAGCAAACTGGCTTAGTTTCATTTCTACTGCCTTTCAGTCAAAAGATTCCATTATCTGGTGTCAATGGAATCTGTTTTCAGATTTTTAATTTTTTTGGTGTGTGTGTGCTCTGGGATCGATGGTTCTTTGCACTGAGCTACATCCCTAGCCCCCTTTTCTAATTTTTATTTTTTTATTTTTTATTGTTTTATTTTTATTTGTTATTATTATTTTTTGGTACCAGGGATCGAACTCGGGTCCTTGCGCTTGCGCAGCAGGTGGCCAAACCACTGAGCTAAATCCCAGGCCCCCCCTTTTCTAATTTTTAAATTCTGAGGCAGGTTTTACTAATTCCCTACGTTGCCCAGATGGGGCTTGGATTTCTGATCCTTCTGTAATCCCAGAGTGCTGGGATTACAATCAGTCACTCACTGCCATCCCTGGCTGTTTTTTTTTATTTTTGGTACCGGGGATTGAACTCGGGTCCTTGGGCTTGTGCAGCAGGTGGTGAAACCACTGAGCTAAATCCCTGGCCCACCCTGACTGTTTTTGATTTTTTTAACCTTAACTATTTTGGAGGTGGAGGTTAATAGAAAAGGGTTTAATTTTGTTATCGGTGGGAAGGGTCCATGGAAGCAACCAAATACCATGTCCAAAGGTCATGGAGGGTGCAGGCGATGTCCAGCCCTACCCAAGGGGCCTCGACCCCAAACCCATGGGGCCCCTGTTACCAGAAGTCAAGGAGGTCTTAGGGTTGCTTTCTGTTGACATCCTGACTCCCCTCATTCCCCCTGAAACAAAAGCAAACCACACTCAAAACACATAAGCAACACTTTAAGAAAGGAAACCGCATGCTTTGATATGTTGCCTTGGGGCAGAATCTAGATGCCTATTTTTAATCTACTTAGTTAGATCTGTAAAAATACATGTTCATTTTCTTCAGTGAAATCCATTTCCGTGTATCTAGAAGCCCCCACTCTGCTGGGGTGACAGGAAATAAGGCGCCCCTGATCCCCGCCCTTCCTCAGAGCCTGGGGGTGGCACCACATTGTCCTGTGGTGCCACGGTGAGAGGGCACCCGCTTGGTTCCTGGGCACAGACCTGCACCAGTGGCAACTCTATTCTTTGTCCCTGCCCATGCAGCCTTTTGGGGTTCAGCCCTCTCTGCAGCTTCCACACTAAGCTGGGTGGGAAATCTGTGACGTGCCTGCCTGGTAGCCTGTTTCTTGGCAGCCAGTTTCTCTCATTGTCACTCCCCTGCCATACCCCAGTTACTACGCTGCTGGGAATTGGGGTGCAGGCCCTCTCTCAGGACTGACTGGCCCCTCTCTCTCTTTTTTCCTTTCTCCTCCAGCCAGGAATGCTGGGTAGAGGGAACAGAAAGCCTTTTTGCAGACTGGAGGAAATCCTCCTCCCTTTACCCTCTGTCTCCGGTGTTCTCAAATCCCCCTCCATCCTCTATCTGGGAATTGATGCTACTGGAAACAATGTCACAAAACCTGTCTGACTCTGCCCCTTTCTTCAGGCAAAAAGCACAGAGTCCACGGTACCTACAAGGAGGGGCAGAGACATGGTAGACAGCACTGGGCTGGACCCTCCGGGGACTCCCAGCCCCCTAGATAATGATCGGATTTGAACAAACCCAAGCAAGGAGGGAGGTGCGACCCCGAGAGACACCTAATGGCTTCTTTGATTGTTTCTGACATCTTCCCACTTCCTTCACAGGTGAAGAAGAGGAGAAAGAGCAGCAGTCATTGTGGTTAACTGCCCGTGTCTCAGCAGTCAGCTGTGTGAGCCTGGGGAGGAGTCAATGGTTGGAAACAAGAGAGGAGTAGAGAAGGTGAGAGCGAGGAGGGCCTAGGGGAGAGCTTGTGCTTTGTGCTTTGTGCTTAGGGTGCGGGAGGAGCCTGGGTGTCCTTCAGTCTCCTTCTCTGCTTTCCTTTCAGGATGAGGGCTTGGAGATTGCCCCTCATGAAAGGGTTTGGCATTGCCAGTCGGGGCAGGTTGAGGTCTGCAGGACTCACAGGTGAGTACCCATGCTGACCGTGGTGACCAGGACATCACAGGAACTTGGTCCTGAGTCTGTTCCCTCTGTCCCTGACCCCAGCACCTTCCTGTCCAGTCTGTGCAGTGTCAGCCACTCACAGTCTGAGCTGAGGCAGCTGTGACCATTTTGCACTCCTCAGCCAAGAGGCTTCCGGAGTGGAGGGCAGGCAGACCCCAGAAGGAATCCTGATAGGTAACCGAGTTAATTTCAGCTGTGGTTCCAGGATCGTCGCTGCCTAAGAGAAAGAGCCTCGTTCCCCTGGGCAGGCAGTTGGTTCGGGCTGGGTTGGAGGCCTCTGCTCAGGAAGCAGGGGGTCGTGGGGGTCCGTGATGGAATCACAGGATAAACAAGCAGTCAGTCTCTGCCCCAGGGTCTCATCTTCTTTGAGGGATCAAAGTCAAACTAGGGAATGTCCTCGGGACTTGGGCTCTCTGCTCTCCTGACCCCTTGGCTGGGTGCCCTGATTCTTGCTTTTGCTGTTGCCAGGTACCTGTGGCTGTTGGGTGGGGCTGAGGGTGTGGTGTGGCCTGTGGTAGAATAGAGTGAGCTATATCTGTTACTGCACTCAGGTCAGAAAGCTCATCCTTTGGGAAAAACGAATGCCTGAGTGACAAGAGAGAGTCGGGGAGAAAGAAAGTACTTTCTGGAGCTGCTAGCGACCTGGGAAGGAGGCAGACTAACGTCTCCAGCTCCCTTTCCTGGGTCTCTTGGGGAGGTGGAGGGCATTTGTATGGAAGTCAAGTCTTGGATTACGTGCAGAGGCCAGCATGTTTCAGAAGCTTGATGCAAGGGCTGGGGATTTAGCTCTGTGGTTCTGCCAAAAGCTCAAGTTCGATCCCTGGTACCAAAAAAAAAAAAAAAAAAGAAGAAGCTTGTTGCAGCTACCTGCTGCTGACCTGAGCTGGGGGCAGGATGCTCCTGTTTAAGTCAGTTCTGTGATCAGCAACTAGGTCCTGGAATCAGCTCAGAAAAGCAAGCAAGATCAAAATAATGCAAAGTGAGCCTGGCATGGTGGCGCATGCCCGTATTCCCAGCACTCTGGAGGCTGAGGCAGGAGGATCACTGAGTTTGAAGCCAGTCTGGGATACATAGTGAGACCTTGTCTCAAAAAAAAAAAAAAAAAAGTGCAAAGTAAAGCTGGTTGTGGAGGCACAGGCCTGTAATCCCAGCACTCTAGGAAGCTGAGTGAGACCTTGTCTCAAAAAAAAAAAAAAAAAGTGCAAAGTAAAGCTGGTTGTGGAGGCACAGGCCTGTAATCCCAGCACTCTAGGAAGCTGAGGCAGGCGGATTGAAAGTTCAACCCCAGCTTGGGCAATTTCATAATGAATAACATTATAATAAACATGGGCTGTGTTTGAATAAAACACATAATTCCATCAGAAAGTTGTCAAAATACACAAATTTAGTTACCAGAGACTGTACTGCCATCTGCCCAAACTGTAGTAAACACACACATTTTCCATCTTTGAAGGGAAGCAACATGTGATAATATTTTTCAAAATAAGAAAGCTGTCCATGCTGTGAATGGCATTCTTTTCAGTAGGGCCACTGGTACACAGGGAAAAGGAACCCAGAGTTCATCTTTCTTTGAAATTCCTTTACTGTCTCTATTTCCTAAACACTTTGCAAATTTCTTCCTCTTCCTGCCCCGCCCCTACTGTTTTAGTTTGGTGGCTCCTCTTTTCTAGCTCGGACCCCTGCAGCCCCCCCCCCCCCCCCCCCCCCCCCCCCCCGTTCTCCCGCCGAGCCCATTTCCTGGACGTGGCAGGCTGTTCCCAGCACCCTGGATGCCCGTGGCATCTGCTGTTCTCCCTCAGCCTGAGACTTTTCACTCCAGCCCCTGACAGGCAAATACGCACATGCCTCTGATACACAGACCAGGGGTTACCTGTCCTGTTTGGACCTCTCCTCCCCTGGGACCTCATAGTCCTGTCCTCTGCAGTACTGGCTATAGTAAATGGGCAGTGCATGAGTTCATCTTTATTTCACCTCCTTGGCTGTCTTTGCACCTTGTAGTGTTGCCAGGAAGCTGAGTCCTTGTCAAGTCTTTGCTCCATGGTTCTTTGTGCCCTAGATGAAAGAATTCAGTCAGGACACACAGGCCATGCAGAAATAAAGGTAGATTTATTGTAAAACAGATTTAGAGAATTACACTTCAAGCAAGGAGGTGGCTGGCACCACAAAGGCATCTGTCCCAAGTGTGAGTTTGGATGCATTTTTATGCACCCAAGAGTTACTCTGGGGTTTGGGGAACTGGGATATTTATCATGCTTATCAATACTTTATTTAGCAGTTACTTTGGAATTGCAAAATGTCTTACTCTCCTTTTTATATGGTTAGTGTTTATTTCAGGGGCTTTAATCATTCAAGAAACTCCCACAAGATAAAATTTTAATTTAAACCAGGTCCTGACCTAAGGCAGGAGGGTGTTTAATGAACATTTCCTCTCCTGATATCACTGGGTTGTGGCAGCCAGGAGTGCCGTGTGCCTTGTTCTGGGGTTCGTGGGCCAGGTGGCCAGGGATCAGAAGAATGCTCACCTTGAGAGATGTCACTGTGTGCTGAGGGAGTGCTTTGGGCCTGAGACCTGACCAGTGACTATAAATGTATTATGCATTGGGGTCTTTGTTTCTTTGCTCAACTGGGGACTTCCCCCACCCATTCGTCTTCGAGGCCTGCTAATGTCTAACTACCTGCCTGACGGTAGGGTCCACAGCACTTCTCTTGCGCCTGGTGCACTCTGAGCACATCTCAGAGAGCACTGGGATGGTTTCTTAAGGGCAGGTTTGGGCTGCCCCCCATCTCAGGACTTCGATCTCCTTGAGTCAGGAGGAGTCTCGCGAGTCTTCATGCCTCGATGCAGTGCCTGGTTCTGGTGGACCGCTCCTTGTTTGCGTAACTGCACCTTCCTGGCTGTTTGATTTCCAGAGGTCCAGTCCCTTTCCCCGACCCCTGCTGAGAGCCTGAGGGGCAGCCGGGAAGGAAGGGGAGCTCAGCCTGCTAAGCCTGCGCTCTCGGCTCCTGTCGTTACTCACGCAGCCACTAGGGGACAGCGGACCTCCATCCTTCCTCTCTGCTGGCCTGGACTCTGAGGCGGTTTGCCTTCCACAGGAAAAATCGATTCCCTAACAGCTAATTTGCTGAAAGGTCATTTTGCAAAATAGTCAACTCAGCAAGTAATCATCTTGCTGAATCATCGAGGAGTTCCTAGAACTTTGGTTTTACTCTGACTCTCCTCAGATGCTTACTATTTCATTTATGAATTTTTTCTCTCCTCTGTTCACTGTCTTGTCTACGTTGGGCAGGCGACATCTCGCTAGGGCTTGACCTCTCCTAGGACCGACCTTCACCTCCCGCGGAACTGTGCTGAGGTGCTCTAACATTTTGCTCTCATCATTTTAATGAGTTGGTTTTATATGGATTGCCCTAGTACCCTGGGAAGGAGATTTGTCCCATTCTGGGTCCTTCTTTATTGAGGGAGGAGGAGGAGGGAGAGAGATTTTCTATTTTCCCACCAACATGTGGCCTCAGTGTCTCCAAAAGCCCTTTTGGGCCAGCCTAGCCCAACCAGCTTTCCTCTAGGTTGGTATCGTGGAAAAGGCACCCTCAAGGCTAGCATGGGAAGACAGCCCAGGGAATAGGACAGCCTGGCCCATACCTTAGCAGTTGGGAGGGCTCAGCACCATCTTAGACGCTGAAAAAGCCAGTGAGAGTTCAAGTTGGTGGCTTCTGCACTGTGAGTGGGGAGCCCTGGGGAAGGACTTGCTCGCATGAACCTGAGCTCACGGGACTCCGGGAGCAAGGCAATCGGGTCCCACCAGGGCTGTGCAGCCTGATTGGTCCAGGAAGGGTCAGAAGTCATCAGAATCATGGAGACAGAAAACAGGGAGGGGGCGTGGCCCAGGGAGCCTAGTGTTCCCTCTGTGTCCTGTGTGGCAGTGTGGAAAAGCCTCGGAGTGCAGTGCACCACAGTGTACTTAGTGCGACTGCACGGTACACTTGAAGACCACTGTGGTGGGAAATGTAACATTGTATGGATTTTGCTATAGTCAAGTGCTGAACGTCCTTGGGAAGTCGAGACCAGGGAACTGGGACACGATGATCTCTCTCAAAAGAGCATTGCGTCTTGTGAAACACAGGAAACCATCAGGTTCTGCTGTTCTGGAATTCTGCTCGCTGGGGAGAAGCTGTCATTCATCCCAAGGCGGCTCCAGTTGGTGGGCTCGGGCCTCAGGCTGCAGGTTTTAGGGACACCCTTGGGGAAAAAGGGGAGACTTGTTACAGGAAGGTGTAAAGGCTGCTTCAGGGTTAAATGAGGTGGGAAGCTGGTTGGAGGAAACAATGTCTTCATATTTTTACCTAGATCTTGGGAAGACCAGGCAAGAGAGGTGGTTGCGGGGACCACGGGCCAAGGCCTGCTGTGAGGGGCTGCGCTCCTACAGTCTTTTGTTGTGTGGGGACCCCAGCAGGTGGAGGTCTGGGGAAGGTGGTGTGGTGCGGCCTGTCCCCTGCCTCAGTTCCATCTGCTCCTGTGTGTGTCAACCCCGCGCCTGGCACTCTGCACTTCCTGTGTGACTGCACTCTGCCTCTGTTGTTGCGAAACCTATTAGTAGAAACCTCTTCCTTTCCAGACACACTCAGAAATCCTCCTGCTGGGGTTTCAGGCCCTCGAAGTGTGGTCATGTCCCCGCTGTCCCCATCTCTTAGCTCCAGGCCTTCCTTAGGAGTCACTGCCACTGGCCTGAGGGGAACCAGCAGCTGCTTCCACCCAGCGGAGGATGGAGGGATGGGACAAGGCCAAGTGTGGAGGTCCTGAGGCAGTGGGAGGCCAGAGGCCAGGCCTGAGGTATGTGTGCAATGTGTGTGTGTGTAGAGTGTGTGTGTGTGTGGAACGTGGGTGTGTTGTGCTAGCACATGAATGTGGGAGTGAGGATGGGCTTGGCCCATGGAAGCTGGCTTGGATTTCAGGGCTCTGTGGA